TGTGTGTGTGTGTGTGTGTGTGTGTGTGTGTGTGTGTGTGTGTGTGTGTGTTTGTTGTTTTGGTGTGTGTGTGTGTGTGTGTGTGTGTGTGTGTGTTGGTACTGGTGCTTGAACTCTAGGCCTGGACACTTTCTTAGTATTTTTGCTCAGTGTTAGCATTCTACCACTTTAAGCCATACCTCCATTTCTGACTTTTTGCTGAGAGTAAACTTTCCTGCTTTGAATTACAATTCTTTGACCTCAGCCTCCTCTGTAGCTAGAATTATAGGCATGAGCCACCCCTCTAAGTTTAATTAGTGCCTTAGGTAGAGTTCTGATTTCATATGGCTTTAAGAAAGCATTTTCGTGTGTGTGTGTGTGTGTGTGTGTGTGTGTGTGTCTGTGTCTGTGTCTGTGTGTCTGTGTGTGTGTCCATTGCTGCCCTTTGATCTCTGGTCCTGGGCATTTTCCCCAAGCAGCTTTTGCTCAAGGCTAGCACTCTACCACATGAGCTACAGCACCACTTCCTGCTTTTTCTGTGATTAATTGAAGCTGGCTTCAATTAATTGGGCTGGCTTCAAACCATGATCCTCAGATCTCAGCCTTCTGAGTAACTAGGATTAAAGGCATGAGCTACCAAGCCATTTCCTTTTTAAAGAATAGAAGTAAAAGTGGAGCCATTTTCTTCTCTCTCTCTCTCCCTTTTTTCTCTCCCCCCTCCTCTCCCTTCTTCCCTCTCTTACTTTCACTCACTCGCTTACTTGGTTTTAGGGTGCTTGACTGCTATCCCTGAGCTTTTGTGCTTAACACTAGCACTCTACAAGTTGAGCTCCACTTCCAGCTTTTTGCTGGTTAATTGGAGATAAAAGTTTCACAACTTCATTGCTCAGGCTGACTTTCAACTGCAATCCTCAGCTCTTCACCTCCTGAGGTAGCTAGAATCATAGGTGTAAGCCACAGTGCCCAGCTATTTCTCCTCATTTATACCTCCTCTTAGGCTAAAGAGATGGCACTTCTTTTTCTGCTGTTTTTTTTTGGTGGGGGGCAAGTTTTCACAGCAGATCTTCTAGACATTAGTGTCCAGTAACAGGTGACAACTTGGCTCTTGTAAGGGAAGCTAGTGACTGATTTCCACTCAAGGATTAAGAGTGAAGCAGACCTTTTCCTCAGGTGCTATGATGGGTTTCTGGTTCATCTTTTCCATTTCTTTTCTCTCTGCTCTATGTTAAACTTTGAATTTTAACCTTTTTCTTTTTGCCGGGCTTGAACTCTGGGACTAGGTACTGTCCCTGAGCTTCTTTTGCTCAAAACACGTGCTCTACCACTAGAGCCACAGCAACACTTCTGGTTGTTTTAAGTAGTTTAGTAGAAATGAGTCTCATGGAGTTTCCTGCCCAAGCTGGCATTGAACCGTGATCCTCAGATCTCAGCCTCCTGAGTAACAAGGATCACAGACATGAGCCATGGTGCCTGGATTAACCTTTTTTTTTCTTTTATTTTTTTGCCAGTCCTGGAGCTTGAACTCAGGGCCCACACACTGTCTCTGAGCTTCTTTTGCTCAAGGCTAGCATTCTACCACTTGAGCCAGAGCACCACTTCCAGCTTTTTCTGTTAATGTGGTAGTGAGGAATGGAATCCAGGGCTTCATGAATGGTAGGCAAGTATCCATCATTAAACCACATTCCAAGCCCCTTAACCTTTTTTTTAAAGGAAATTTTATATAGGCTGAAAGCAGATCAGTGTCTGGGGTGAGCATGACCAGTTTTAGCTCCTTTGAACTCCATTTTGCCTCTTTTAGGTGATTTTGGTATTCCTTAACGCTTGCTTGACTGGCTACTTGAACCTGCAGTTTCTATATTCTCCTTGAACTTGCTTCATTTTCCTTTGCTTCAGATTGTCCAATTCCTGCTAAACACTGTATTCTTTTAGACTATATTGCCCACACAGCAAATAGAAATCAGACTTCAGGCGTTTGTCATAAGACATAGGAAGTATGTCCCAGAAGGAGTTAGTTTGCTCTGGGTCTTCAGTCTTTAGGCCTACACCTTTGGTATCATCTATGATGTAGCAGTTGTACTTAGAGTCCAGTGCAGTCACAGCCATATCTTCCTAATGCCTTTTGAGTACAATCTGAATGCTTTCAAAGTGGTCCCAGCACACTTTTTTTAAAAGAGGGCCAAAACAGGTCGGGCTCAGTGGCTCAAGCCTGTAACCTAGCTGTTTGGGGGTGGGGCTGGAGATTAGGAGGCCATGGTTTAAGGCCAGCCTAGGCAAAAAGAAATGTTCCAAGACTCAGTCTCAACTAGTTAGTGGGTGTTAGGACTCATGTCTTTATCCTAGCTACAGAGGGGTGGGGGGAATACAAGGGCTCAGTACAGTGTTGCATGCCTTACATCACAGTGACATGGGGAAACACAAGTAGGAGGAGACAGCCTGGGCATAAAGTGAGACCCTACCTTAAGAAAGCAAATGTATGGGGCTGGGAAGGTGGCTCAGTGGTAGAGCGCTTGCCTTGCATGCCTGAGGCCCTGGGTTCGATTCCTCAGCACCACATAAGCAAAAAGAAAAAAGCTAGAAGTGGTGCTGTGGCTCAAGTGGTAGAGCACTAGCCTTGAGCTGAAGAGCTGAGGGACAGCGCCCAGGCCCAGAGTTCAGGCCCCACGACCGGACCCCCCCCCAAAAAAAAGCAAATGTATAAAATGGAGGAGAAGCTCAAATGGTATAGAGCATCAGCTGTGAGAGAAAAAGCTGAGTGAGAGTGTGAAGCCCCAAGTTCAAGCCCAGGGAGCAGCACAAAGAAAGCAATACAAAAAGAGGTGTGGCTCAATGGAGGTGTGGCTCAAGTGGTAAAGCACTACCTAGAAAGCAGAAGGCTAAAAAATTAAAGCATAAACAAC